TGAGCCCCTGGAAATCAAAAACACAACTGCTAACAATCGTGTCATGCCTACCATTTACAAGGTACTTTACAGTATGGATCTTATTCCTCACAACAACCCCAAGAGAGAAGTAAGGTAAGATTTGTCCCTATCTTACCAATGAGAAAGCCTTCTGGAAGGCCTTGAGTCAGGTCTTCTGACTCTAAATCATGTAGATTTCATCATCCTTTCACATTGGTCCTCTCTGTTGCCAAAGCTCAGTTGATTGGAATGTTTTCTTTCCTGCTTCTGTTTCCTCAGTAGATGATAACTATTAATGGCTAATATCTGAGGGCTTACTCTTGTCAGGTACCAATCTAAGCACTCTATGTGAATTATTTAATTTTAACCACATGCGGTAAAGCTTTACAGCCCCACTCTACAGATGAAGAAACCAAGATTCAGAGAGGATAAGTTATTTGCCCAAAGTCACACATTAGTAACTGGTAGAGCTGGGATGTCAATCTAGGTCTTCCTGATTCCACTGTATACTCTCGTAACCACTGTATAGACTGCCCTGAATCAGAACTGTCTCATTTCTTTGATTTGTTCTTCCCAAGAATTCAAACAAAGTTTTGCTCTGGAAATCCAATTTTACCTACGGTGATAAGCTGTGGCACGGAGGGAGGGGATAAAGCAAGGGACAGTGAGAATCCCTGATTATGAGTTCTATAGCTTCTTCCGAGTCACTGTGTGGGTCCAGGTAAAGTCTCTTTCTCTTTGTCAAGTATTCCTAGCCATAATATTGGGATTAAAATTTTGCCACAAAGTGGAAAAGAGAAAAAAGGAGAAAATATTGAGGTAAAGTTGAGGGGAAAATATTTGAGTCCCACAGAATGAAGACATTCTTTGTATAAATATAAATTGGAAATATCGTTAATGCTACAGTGATAATTACTACTCTGCAGTGAATTAAGTACAGACCTGGGAATCAGTTTCCCAGGGTCATCTTGCTAAATGAACAGAGTTGGAACATGCCTGTATGTGCCTCAGGTTTTCTGTGCATGAACTGGGCCACCCACCGCTTCCTTGACGGCCTTCTCAATGGGATGACACTTCTGGGTCTGCCCTGAGAGAACCACCTACACATAGTTCTCTCCCCTGCACTCAGCCTTCTCCCAGTAGGGTGACTGTGGAGCAGATCAGCCCTTGAATGAGTGCTTATTTGCAAAGCTCTGTGAGGAAGAGGCAACTTTAATACATGTGAGGCAAGAGGCAGGAGGATACGCCAATGTCATCCAAGCTTCCTCAGGACTGACCCTTTTCTGTTGTGACACTGAGAGCTGTTGATCCCATCTGCCTGTGCTTCTGTGTATTCTCCATGCTTCATCTGACAGGAACTGGCAAGTCTAACCTTGTCTTCCTTTGATTCATTTGATGAGTGAACTGTATGTGGGTGTCAGAACTCAGTGCTTTCGTGCTGAGCATGTCACATTGTTTCCCAAGGGTTGCCTTAAATCCTCAGCCTAATCTCAGCGGCTGCCTCTGATGCTCCCCGGCCACTAGCTTCTTGTGGTGTGTGTGGGATGTGGAAAGGAGAACCAGAGGGAGCAACAGAGGGGGGAGGGGGATATAGAAACAGCTCAGTGCCACAGGACTGTATTTGCAGTGCTTTGCTAGCTTCCAGGAACCACGCGAAAGAGGGATCATTATAATCTGGCAAAAACCACAACCAAAAGGGACAGAATTGTTTAGTGATAAGCAGCTGTAGCTGTCATTTGCTTTTCCTGGACAGAGGTGGCCTCCAAAGTCTACCTGAGCAGACCTTTCAGACTCTCCATGAGCAGATGCTTCTTTGTTGACATGGAAATTATTTTTCCAGATGAACTTTTAAAATCAGTGACTTTCAAACATCAGTGAACATTAAAATCACCAGGGGTGAACGGCAAGATGTGCCCCATTCTCAGGGATTCTGATTCAGTAGATCCGGGGTGGAGGCCAGGAATCTGCATTTTTAACAAGCATATTAGGTGATTCAGATAGTCAGTGGACTACATTCCCCAAAAGACAGTCTTAGATTTAGTTCCAGTTTCCATTCAGCCCAGTGTTTGAAATAGCCTCTTTCTGCTGCAGTCTGTTTGTTTTAATCACTTTATTGAAGGATTTACTAGCATCTCCACGTTTACTACCTGTTTCATCCTCACATCATCGCAGTAACTAGAGAGGGAATCAGAGGTTAGCTCCATTTTATTGGGGGTGAGGGGGTGGGAGGTGGGACTGAGGCATAGGGAGAGGTAAGTCACGATAAGTCAGAGACAGAGGTGGGAACGGAAGTCCAGAATTGATGACTCTCAAACCGGGCAATTTTCTGGGGCCTATTTTCTCAGCTTGTGTTATTCCATAGGTGTCCAATTCATTGTGCTGGGGTAAGCAAAGCATATTTGAGTTTTAAACAAAATAGCTTAGCATCCATCAGTGTGCTAGTTTTTGTTTATCATACCGAAGCTCGTCTGAGCTAATATCTAGAGATGATATGTGTGGAACTGACTTAATGTGCTTCTTTCTGCGCTTGCTTCCTTCATCATTTCTGAAGCCTTTTCACATAAACTATAAGGGAACAGATTTCTTCTCCTCATGCCAATAGGAACCCCCTCTGATCTAACTGGTAAAGTACTAAATCAAAAAAACTATTAACTTTCCGCTTCTCAAGTAGTACTTGGATCCATTTCTAAGGAAAAAAATATTGAAAACCCTAAGTTTACTTAAATTATTTTTATTACCATGTTACTTAAATTTACAAATATAAAGTAGGAATATAATGTTCTTTTATTTATAGTTCTTATACAACTAAAAAAAACAAAATAGATTTATAAGTTAAATACAAATGAAGCCACAAAACTAATACTACTCATATTAATATTATAGTAATTTAACACGGCAAATGATGTATTTTGCTGAGACTAAATTATCCCTTGTATTGTGACTGTTATTGCCTGCGAAAGCTCGGCTTCTTTTGAGTTCAACATGCTTATGCCACCAAGTGACCTATATTATCTCAATTTTCTCACCACTTTTCTGTTAGAACTACTGTGACAGTGCAGTCCTATGATGTGATTTGGCTTTCATTTTGTGCTTGAAAACACCAGTTTCATTTTAAATCCACCTCTGTTCTTTTCTCATGATCCCAGAACAATAAAAGCAGCAATGAACACACATGCAATGTAGGTATTGAGATCACGTGGCAATACCAGGTTATTAAGTAGTCATCCAAATAATCCAGAATATGCTTATGCAAATCTAGAAAATAATTATCAAAATGAAAACAAAATTAGGGACTTCCCTGGTGGTCCAGTGGTTAAGAATCCGCCTTCCAATGCAGGGGATGTGGGTTTGATCCCTGGTCAAGGAACTAAGATCCCACATGCCGCGGAACCACTAAGCCCGCGTGCTGCAACTACTGAGCCCATGCACAACTAGAGAGAAGCCCAGGCGCCTCAAAGAAAGTTCCCGCATGCTGCAAGGAAGATCCCGTGTGCCACAACTAAGACCAGATGCAGCCAAATAAATAAATAAATATTTTTTAAAAAAGACAAAACTCTAGAGAACACATGCACAAACCTAAATTGAGAATTACTGTTCAGATCCATTGATTCCCAAACTTTCACTATGATCAAAAGCCTTATCTACTGTGTTTACTTCCAAGAACCTCATATGTTTTTTTTGTTTTTTTCTTTTTTTGTGGTACGCGGGCCTCTCACTGTTGTGGCCTCTCCCTTTGCGGAGCACAGGCTCCGGGCGCGCAGGCTCAGCGGCCATGGCTCATGGGCCTAGCCGCTCCGCGGCATGTGGGATCTTCCCGGACCGGGCCACGAACCCGTGTCCCCTGCATCGGCAGGCAGACTCTCAACCACTGCGCCACCAGGGAAGCCCGAACCCCATGTTTTTTTTAAAAAGTCTCCTAAATTAGATTTATTAATAATTTTACTTTTTTTATTAATCAAACACATAGAATTACCATTTCAGAGCTTGTGATCACCACAGGTAGCTATCAATCTAAGCTGCTTAAATTATAGTTCAAAACAAACAAACAAAAAGGGACATTGTAGTTATTCCATGCTGCCCTAACAAGGGTAAATGGAAACTTCCCACTAAATTTTGTAAGAAAGCACTCCCATACCCTCACCTCCTGCCACTGCTGCCTTTGAGGACTCCTGGAGTTCTAGAGAGGTCAGTTTAGCCTTTCTTGTACAAGCAAAGTAGCCACGCCACCCAATTTGGAAGGATTAAAGCTTGCCCTAGTTTTGCTTGATTGTTGTACTTCTAGCATGCTAAAGAACTAAAAAATGGGAGGAAGAAAATACAACAGAAGGCACCATTCCAGTACCAAACTGAAAAGAAACAAAAACAAGAGAGCAACATGTTTTTAACAGCTTGCATGGAGAAAGCGGAAAAAATATTGACTGGGGAGTTTGGATAGCGCTGTTCATTTTCTCTCACCGCCCGCGTTATTTGTCTTACGGGGCAGGAGCCAGATACAATTCTGGCGCACAGGCCGGAGGAAGAGGTGGAGGGGTTTTGTGGAAGTTTGAGGATAGCGGGGAAATTAGGACTGGAGACCCAAATGGCTCAGGGCCAGGATGAAGTCAGGAGAGGCGCTAAATCTTTTTTCCTCCTGTCCTTGGGCATCCTCGTTGGTCCGCCTGAGTCCTAAGAGGGCACAGCATGGTTCACTCAGGTAAGTCCCCGACGCCTTCAGATCATGAGCAGGACGAATCCCCGCCCCTGTTTCTTTTGCCTGGGGAAAGGACACGCGGGCTCCTTTCGCTTTCTCAGCCCACCTGTCTTTTGGAGTTCAGACGTGCACCTCCAGCAACGGGGTCCGGGATGGGGCCTCCACCGGCCCGCCAGGCACTTGGTTCCCCGACCTCAGCACCAGCCGAGCCTGGGTCTTAGCCCCGCCTCTCCGGGCGCGGGGCGGGGCCTGGGTGCGGGGCGGGGCCTGGGCGCGGGGCGGGGCCTGGGCGCGAAGCGGGCGGTGGCGACCAAGCGGAGGAGAAAGAACATGGCGGGCGTGGTGGGGCCCCGTGTGGGCCAGGGGGCAGCGGGCGGAGATGGAGACGATTCGCTCTACCCGATCGCGGTATTAATCGACGAGCTGCGCAATGAGGATGTGCAGGTACTGGAGTCGGGCCGGGGAGCGGAGGCGGGCTCGGCCGGGCGCGTGGTAGGGAAGGGGGAAGGCCCGGCCCGGGGCAGGGGAGGCCCGGGGATTAAAAGCTGGGACTCGGAGCAGAAACTTGACAGGGAGGAGGGGAGAGATCCGTGAGGGATTCTGGTGGCTCGACCCGACGGGCCGGGAACCTCTCCAGCACCCCTTGTCCCGGCCCGCTGAGGCTTTGGCCCGGCGTCGTACCGGGTCCGGGGCGGTTGTGGGGGAACCGGCTTCCGTCCTGGGCCCTCCTTCCGGCCCGGGCGGTGGGAACGCCGCGTCCAGCCTTGGGCGGGTCGTCCCTGTAGCTGAGCGAGCGGGAGGAGGGCGGAGCGGAACCGCGAGGGCCTGGAGCGGGCTGCAAGGATGCCAAGGCGCCCAGTGAAGTGCAGGTGAATGACTGCCTTCCGCTGGGCTTGTGGGGTAGAAATTAGGTTGGATGGCTAACTAACCTAGAGGAGGCGGTGTATCATCTCTGATGGAACTTTTCTTTGAAAAGGCAGGGGTTGTACTCAACTGTTTCACCTGCTTCACCACTGCCAAAGTTCTCTCTTTTTAAAATTGTCTCACTTTTCTGAATATTGTATTTTCTTTCATTTCTTTAATGGGCCCGTCAACGTGTTTCTCCTAAGAAATCTTCCTTTAGCTAATGAAGACGTGTTCCACTGTTCTTGAGGTTCCTCATAGAATAAAATCTAAATTAAAGGTTTTCTTCATTCTTACCTGTATGTTATTATCTCACCTGTTTGCAACTGCTGTCTTTTTTTATTAAATTTTTAAAAAATGATTCACATTTTTAAAAAATTTATTTAATTTATTTTTTGCTGTGTTGGATCTTCATTGCTGCCCACGGGCTTCATTGCGGGCTTCTCATGTTGCGGAGCACAGACTCTAGGCATGGGGACTTCAGTAGTTGTGGCTCAAGGGCTCTAGAGTGCAGGCTCAGTAGTTGTGGCTCAAGGGCTCTAGAGTGCAGGCTCAGTAGTTGTGGCGCACGGGCTTAGTTGTTCCGTGGCATGTGGGATCTTCCCTGACCAGGGCTCGAACACCGTGTCCCCTACATTGGCAGGCAGATTCTTAACCACTGCGCCACCAGGGAAGCATGCAACTACTGTCTTTTGGTCTAAATCACAACTGTTTCTTGACTTCGTTCTTTCTACTTTTTTAAAGCTCCGTCTCAATAGTATTAAGAAATTATCAACAATTGCTCTAGCACTTGGAGTAGAAAGGACGCGAACTGAACTGCTGCCTTTCCTTACAGGTATGTGACTCTTGGAGGAAAGACATGGGCATTTCTGTTTTCCAGTGGCTTTCAAAACTTTGGCTATTTTTTTTCGAATTTGTTACCCACAGTATTAGTAAGTACTAAACTGAGCCTGCTGTTTCCCATGAAGAAACAGGACAGCATATACTGTAATTTTGTGGCCAGACATATTCAGACCTTAACTATTTAGCTAATAGGAAAGTAATTGATATGGATTATGAATTTCTAACTCATTCTGTAAAACAGATCCACAAAGACTCTTGATTGAGAAGGAGGAAAAGGCTGTTAGGACTGTGACAGACCATCTAGTTACATATTGAGTCTATTCCTAGTTTTGTGTGAGTGTCCAGCTCTGGGCCAGATATCCTTGTTGATGAGTACTGGGTTGTTGTCATTTCCAGATACAATTTATGATGAAGATGAGGTACTGTTAGCTCTTGCTGAGCAGCTGGGAAATTTCACTGGCCTGGTGGGAGGTCCTGACTTTGCCCACTGTTTGTTGGTGAGTATATTCTACCTACTCTCCTCCTACAACTTTTGCAGTATAAATGATATGTTGTTTGGTGATAGGCACACTGCAGCATTTTTTATACAGATCTTTTTATGGATAGTCACAGTGTTAGCTACTGAGAGGACAAATAGCTAGGCCCTTTGGACTCAATTAACCCTTTCTTATTTTTTCTGACTGTGAATTAAAGAACTTCTCCCTCTTTTTTGCCTCTGTAGATTTGTTAATTTAGAGGTCGGGAGAAAAAGGATTTGATGGTTTTTGTTCATGGCTTTTTCCCCCTTACAGTGGAAATCTTAATGCTCATCTAGCAATGTTATGGCTTTGGGAATGTTTATTAGTTTTGTCTTTAATTGTAACTTTTGCTTCTGACTTACTTTGCGAATTTGATGAATTCAGTTTAATTTAGTTGACATTTATTGAGAACCTATTATATCAGGCACTGAAGTTACAATGTTAATGTTAAGAGAAGAGCATTATGAATGGAATGAGGCCTCTGTCCTTATGTGTCAACAAATAATTACTGTACGGTGTTAGATGGAAAATTTTGAAGCACATAAAAGGCATTCAAGTAATAGAGAAGGGCAAGTGATTAACCCAGGGTGATCAGGGAAGATCTGTTGGGAGAGAATGTCTGAACTAGGTTTTGAAGGATGACTAGGAATTTGCCAGTTAGACAAGATAGGGCTGAATGCTTCCGGGCTTAAATATTGTCTGTATTATGTTGCTGACTCTTGTGACTTCTGTCTTTACCTCTTACCTTTCCATGGAACTCCAGTTATAGATATCTGTAGAAAGATAGATATAAATATCTATGTTTGTCTTTCTCTATATATCTGCCTGTGATTTTTCTACTTGGATGTCAAACAGGCATTTCAAATTTAATATCTAAAACAGCATCAATTTTCTCCCCCAAATATGCCTCCTAATTAGTTGCCCCGTTGCAGTAAATGACATCACCGTCTACCCAGTTGCACAAACCAAAACCTAGAAGACATTCTTGAATTCGCTTTCCCTCATTTCCCACATCTAACCCATTAGTAACTCCTATAGATTCTATATATATTCCAAATCAGTTCACTCTCCTTCATCCCTGCTACCACCTAGCTCTTCATTCCTCTAATCTTTCTAGACGACATGATCTTTCCTCTAGATTACTGCAGTAACTTTCTAACTAGTTGCCTTCCACTCATGCCTCCCGCCCCACCACTACAGTTCACTCTTCACCCAGCGGGTGGATCACTCACTACCTGCCACGACTCTTAGAAAATCCCAAATTTCTACCTTAGCTTGTACATTAGTTTACAAAACTTGCCCCTATGAGCTTATCTCATGTGTTCCCTCGTAATAACCTCATTCCATTCACTATGGTCTTCTTTCTGTTCTTTGAATAAACCAGGTTTATTGCCTTAAGACTTTTGCCCTAGGTATTCCCTATAATAAAATGTTTCTTTTTTGAGCTTCCTGGGGCTGTCTCTTTGTAATTCACATATCAACTTTAATGCATCTCAGAGACCTTCGCTGACCACTCAACCTGAAATTGCTTCCCCACTCACCCCTTATCACATTATCCTATTCTTTTTTTTTTTTAGCCGCACCACTTGGCTTGTGGGATCTTAGTTCCCCGACCAGGGATTGAACCTGGGCCCCTGGCAGTGAAAGCGTGGAGTCCTAACCATTGGGCGGCCAGGGAATTCCCCTTATTCTAGTTCTTTACAGAACACTCAACACCATCTAGTTGGTTTAGTGACTAGTTGTTATCTTCCTCCATTAGAATGTAAACTATATTCAATATCCTGTGATAAACCATAATGGAAAAGACTGTATGTATATGTATAACTGAATCACTTTGCTGAAATTAACACAACATTGTACATCAACTATACATGAATAAAATAAATTAAAAAAAATAAAATCAAAAGACCCAAAAAAGAAAAAAAAAGAATGTGAACTCCGCTAGAGCAAGGAAATTGTGGCCTTGTTTCTTCCGTATCCTCAGTGCTAGAATATAGCAGTAATTATCATTTTAAAAGAAAGAGTTTAAGAGCCTTGGAAGCATGGAACCGGTTGGACTGCAGGAGTATACAGTGTTGGTGCTAGAGTTGGAAGAAGTGGTGGTCTGGGGGCATAGGAAAAGAGCATGGAGAGATAGGCAGAGTTCACATCAAGAGACAGGAGCTTGCCTTACCCTGTAGTAGTGATAGAGATTATCCAGTGATACTGCATGAGAGGAGGTCAGAGATGGCAGTGGACAGATCATGAAAGGCCTTTACAAGTCAGAAAGCAGTATCTTTTCAAAGGGCTTCTGAAATGCCTCTTAGAAAAGCTGAGTACTTTCTACCTCTGTGTATCAAATAATTTTTGAAATGTATTATTGGATAGACACACGTCTCTCCTTTGACTCACAATTGTGTTTCATTCTCCTGGTCAGTTCTACATGTGGGTTTTGTCTTTAACATTTGCACCTCATGGTATATGCTGCATTTGCCTGGACTGAGTGTAAACCCAGAAAGGCAGAGGTTCAGAGAACCCGCCCTCTGTCACTGTTTACTGGGCTGTGTTATATTCACTCACTGATCCTAGTCCAGACCAGCCCCTTTGGTCTCTTCTGTTTCTAAAGCTGCAGGCAAGGTTTGCTACCACCTCTGCACTCTTTACTTAATTGTTCTTTTGGAAACTCCCACTGTGTGTGGCTCATGGGAAGATTCTGGATGTATTCTGAAAAAACAATTTTGTTCTCAGCCTTTTATAGGTTGGTGTGGAGACAGTGGACACAGGTAGCGTCCACCTCCAGGAATGGTAGAATAATAACCCAAAGGCCGTGGACTCAGTGTCCTGATGAGATGTCCTCATGTAATTATGGTGCCCAGCGTTGGTCATGTTTTTGCACTTACTCGAGGAAGTGTACATTATCCTGTCTGAATTTGGCTACAAAGCTTTTATTTATTTATTTTTTTGGCTGCACCGTGCTGCTTGTGGGATCTTAGTTCCCCAACCAGGGGTCAAACCCACGCCCCCTGCAGTAGAAGCACGGAGTTTTAACCACTGGACCGCCAGGAAAGTCCTGCTACCTAGCTTTTAAATCTAGTGATTCAGCTCGCAATAATATTAATATTGTGTCAAGTCTCTTCCACTGTGTCATTTGTAGACACCATCTGGGAATTGCCATCTGGGACGTGAGATCTTGGCTGTCCTACAGAAGTCGTGTCTTCAGGTTGGACACACCATATGTTATCACCATGTGAACTGAAAGTAACCATTTGGTGTGATGTAGCTAACATTCTGGTTACATGTACCACCTCCCTTCAGTCACTTTAAAAGGTGATAATCTGTATCTAACCTGATTGAGTAAGTTTTCTCTCTGGTTTTCCGTTTTGGTCTATTTAGCCTCCTCTGGAAAGTCTGGCGACCGTGGAAGAGACTGTGGTTCGAGACAAGGCTGTGGAGTCCCTGAGGCAGATCTCCCAGGAGCACACTGCTGTGGCTCTGGAGGCTCACTTTGTCCCTCTGGTGAAACGCCTAGCGAGTGGGGATTGGTTTACCTCTCGCACATCTGCATGTGGTTTGTTCAGCGTTTGCTATCCCAGGGCTTCAAATGCTGTCAAAGCAGAAATCAGACAGTAAGATATGGTATTTTTTAGTTATTTGGGGTTATTGGGAGTTCACAGCTGACAAGTTACACAGTACCCTGTTACCAGTGAGTGACTGGTATCAGGGTAGTCGGATTAATGACACAACTTTTTATTGTCCAGTTGAATATACCCGTGGGTTTTCCCTTGTTACTTCTATGAGTAGAAGTCTGATCCCTGATGGTTGTAAGAGAAAACCTCTAAAATTTCTGTGTGCGTTGGGGGATGCTTAATCAATGGCATTTGACAGGAAATACCTTCATTATTTTATTTGCTGCAGGCACTTCCGTTCCTTGTGCTCAGATGACACACCAATGGTACGACGTGCTGCTGCTTCCAAATTGGGTGAATTTGCAAAAGTTTTGGAATTAGACAGTGTGAAAAGTGAAATTGTTCCATTGTTCACTAATCTAGCTTCCGATGAGCAGGTAGGTTAACTCTTGGTAATTAAAGTACACAGATATGCTCCTCTTAAAATTTTAAGAATTTCTTTGGGTGTTTTGGTTCTCGTGGTAGGATCCTTTTTGCAGAATTAATACTTAATTCTGGCCTGGATAAAGTTTAATATGACCCATCTCAGTGTCCTTATAATTCTTTCTTAGCCAGACCACAGTTTTCTTTTACATTAGCAGCTGTTAAAAGGAAGGGGGTGTCAAAGAGGAAATGGGAGCCATAATTAGAAAGGAAGGCCAAAGCTGCATTAAAGGGTAACATACCTTTGGGCACTGCAGGCTGGATTGTCATGGGAGAGTAATGTTTCCTGGAATTTTTGGCTTTCAGATAAACAAGCATAGCATGTATTGGGAAAGCTGTTTGACCCTCTGCATCCTCTATGTGAGTGTATAGGATGACTTCACTTGATAGCAGTTATAAATCCAAGGATCTGGATCTCATTGGTGTAGAAATAGCAATAATAATACACTAGCAAGCACCTAAATAAATCTTTCTCAGCCTGTTTTAAGTGGTTTACATATGGGAAGTAATTCAGTCCTCACGACAGCCCCATTAGGTAGATACCCCACTTTACATAATTGGAAACAGGCACAGGAAATTGAAGTGACTTGCTCAAGGTTGCATAGTTAGCAGTGTTGGACTGGGGATTTGAGTCTAGGCAGTTTAGCTCCAGAGTTCATGGCCTTCACTGCTAAGCTGCACTGCCTCTCTATATGGTGCTTTGGAGGATCAGCCCCCAGAGTTCCTGGACTCCAGAAGAAGAGCCCTTCAGGTTTTACCTAGTTGCTGCCCTAGAATCACTTTATGTGTACAGGATCACGAGCAGCAGATACATACCCATGAGTCTTATTTTCAGCTTCTAGATCTAAAGATGGTAAATCTTTTGAAATAATTTTTTAAATTTATTAAAATAATATATAGAAAACAGCACAAAGTGAATATGCATCTTAATGAATCATTACAAGTTAATGTCATCTTGTGACTTTCATCCATGAAAGGAGATAGAACTTCGACAGCCACTACCCTGGAAGCCCAGCATGGGCTCCCTCCCAAACACAACCCCGCTCCCCAGTTCCCACTCCTCACTCTCCACCCCCTTAAGACTAACACTTCATCTTGACTTTCGTGGTAACCACCTCCTTACTTCTCTTTGCATTTTTATTACTCATACAGTATAGTTTAAAACAGCAGTATCTAACAGAAATACAATGTAAGCCGCTGTTACTTTTAAGTTTTGTAGTAGCCACGTTTTAAAAAGTAGAAAACAGGTGAAGTTGATTTTAATAATATATTTTAACCCAATATATCCAAAATAACTATCCTTTAAACATGTGGCACTAGTTACATTTCAGGCACACAGAAGTAGGTAGTGAGTGGGTAGCGGTTGTCGCATTGGACAGTACAGGTTTGAATCCTCATTTGAGATCTCGTTGATTACATTTCCAGTGGTATAATTTAACATTTTCTTTTGTCCTGCAAAATTGGTAGTTGAATCTAGAGTGGAGATTTGTGAAAGGGCCAGATAGTAAATATTTTAGGCTTTGTGGACCAGACAGTCTCTGTTGTCACTACAAAGCTCTGCTGTTGTATGTAGCACTCTATATGTAAACTAATGGGCATGGTGCCGTTCCAGTAAAATTTTATTTACAGAAACTTGCTGCTTTTCAGATTTGGCCAGCACTTGCCCCAGCTCTGATCTAAAGGCTTAAGGAGAGATAGGTTTGATATTTTGGGGGCAATAAGATCACTTCGTAGGTGGAGGTTACTTTTCATCAAGAGATACGTCTAGTTGTGGTATTAGCAGCAATGGATGCTCAAAAAAATATTGTGCTTAGTTGTAAAATACATGTGTGTATATTCACTCTGACTACTGATAGAATTGCTGCTCCTGCCTTAGTCATTCATTGAGAAAGTATTTATCAAGCACCTTCTACATATCAGGCACTGTTCTAGTGCTGGTTTACAGTGTTAAACAGGGTGTACAGGGACCATGCTGTCATGGAGTTTACAATTTAATGAAGGAAAACAGATAATAAACAAAACATTGGGGATAAATACTATGAAGAAAATAGAGTCGGGTGACACAGTGGTGGGGAGTGATTGTAGGGCATCCTCTAGACTGGTTAGTCAGAGAAGGACTGTGAAGAGGTGGCATAAACTGAGACATGAAAGAAAAATGCCAGCCATGCCCTTTCCTAGGGTGTCAGAGCTCCAGGAAAAGAGAATTCCAGGAAGAGAGGACACTTAGTGTAAAGGCCCTGAGGTTAGAACATAGTGGGCGAAAGGGACTCTGATCAGAGATGAGTTTGGAGAAGATAAGCAGGGGCCAGATTGTGGGGGACCTTTAAACCACAAGGGTGTAGAGTTTGGATTTTCTTTTCCAGGTGGAATGAGAATACACCGAGATTTTAAGCAGCGGTGTGATTTGATGTAATCTACATTTTTAAAAGATCATTCTGGTTTCCGGGTGGAAACTAAATTGTAAGGTGGGGTTGAGAGTAGAAATAGCAAGACAAGTTAGGAGACTTTTGTAATAATCCAGGCAGGAGACAGTGGTGAACTAGGGTGGTATAGTGAAGATGGAGAGAAACTGGAGATAGTTTTGGAGGTAGTCAGTAGAGCTATGATTGAATTGGATGAAGGGAAGAGGAATCAAGATCTCTTTGATTTTTGGCTTGAGCAACTGGGTGGATGCTGGTGTCACTGCTGAGTGGAGAAGATTCTGGGAGCAGTAGCAGGTATAGGGAAGAAAATCAGGAGTTCTGGAAGAGAAGCAGTTGATTAATTGAACAAATATTGATGGGTATATATTTCCATAGATGATGGTAATCCCTTGATTCATCATAATTTTTGGAATCTGAAAATAGCTGTATAGCTACTACCAAGAACCTAGTTCTGCCTTTTTTAGCCTGTTCCTTTACATAGAGTAGTGAGTATCTTGGGCGTAGGGTAAGTTATTGTTGATCTGTAAACGTGTAGTGTCTCAGAAAGTTGGAGTTGCTGTTATCCCTTGTGTGTTTGCACATGCCTAGATATACGCATACAGGAATGTTACATATATAAAATATTTATATATGTATATATACACACACATACTCTTAAAATTTTTGTCTTGTTTCTTCTGGGTGCTCAGATGTTTATGTATTTTCAGTTCCTACTAATATATTTATGATTCCCGAATCTATAGTCTCAATTCCCTATTTTTCATTGATTTCTCTAATTATATACTTCCACTTGTGCAAAGGTCATATAGGTACTACGTTGATACTTGCTGGTTTACATTTGGGAAGCTGAGTTCATTAATCCCATACCTAATTTTTTCTGCTGGGTTTTTTATGCTTGGCTACCTCAAAGTTATTCTGTCCTTGATCATCAACATTTAAATTGAATGTTTTTTTAAATTACTTTTAAAACTTGTTTTTCTATGTATTTTTTTCCAAGTCATTATCTCATGCCTAAACTCCTATTACTGCCATCCTACAATGAGTATTTTGAAAACTGAGCTTCCTAAGTCATTCCCTTACTCTTATCCCCCATTCTCTTTCTCTGTTCTGATCTGTTGTAAACAACTTGTACAAGCATTGTTTTCATTTTTATCCCTCAACTTCTTATAGTGAGGATTTAGAGACATCATTAAAATGTTTTCTTTTTTCACTTAATCTTCACATTTTATTTTCATTTTCCTTAATAAAAATCCTGCACTCTAACTAACGTCATTACTTTGCTGTTCGCTCAGAGAACAGTCATTTCTGCCTTTATGGCTTTGACATGCCTGCCATTCCAGGCAAAGGGAGCAGCTATTTCAAGACATAAAGACATGAGCTGCATATAGTGTGGTTGGTTTTTTTAAATTAAATGATACCCACGGCACTACCACACACCACACACTGCCGCGTGGCTCTCAGTAAATATTATCTGACTAACGGAAAGGAATTTTGTTCATTAGGATTCAGTGCGCCTCCTAGCTGTGGAAGCTTGTGTCAATATTGCTCAGTTACTTTCTGAGGATGACCTTGAGGCTTTGGTGATGCCTACACTTGGACAAGCAGCAGAAGATAAATCTTGGCGAGTTCGCTATATGGTAGCTGACAAATTTTCAGAGGTAAAATTGTTGCACTGACATTTTTTGAGTACTAAAGAAAAAAACCAGAAACCCACAGATTTGCTGTTGTACCAAAAATTTCTGAATTGGAAGTGCTCATGGCAAAAACATATATAGATCTTCCTGGACTCAGGATGGGGTTATGTCCCGATAAACCCATTGCAAGTTGAAAGTGCATTTAATACCTGCTGGACATCATAACTTAGTCTCGCCTACTTTAAATGTGCTCAGAACACTTACATTAGCCTACAGTTAGGCAGAATCATCTAACACAAAACCTATTTTATAATAAAGTGTTGAATATCTCATGTAATTTATTCAATGCTGTAGTAAAAGTGAAAAACAGAATGGTTTTACATGTATCGGTTGTTTCCCCTCGTGATTGCATGGCTGACCGGGAGCTGGGGCTTCCTCTCTCTGCCCAGCATCACGGGAGGATTGTACTGCATATCGCTAGCCTGGGAAAAGATCAAGATTCAAAATCTGCAGTTTGGTTTCTACTGAACGTGTATTGCTTTCACACCATCCTAAAGTTGAAAAATCTTAAGTCAAACGATCATAAGTTGGGGACTGTCTATACTTGAAGATTGCGCTGTTTTGTGTGTTCATGTTACTTATTTTGTTTAGAGGACATTAAAACCTGTACAAATTCTTTTATAGCTCCAGAAAGCTGTGGGTCCCAAAATCACCCTAAATGACCTCATCCCCGCCTTTCAGAACCTACTCAAAGACTGTGAAGCTGAAGTCCGAGCAGCTGCTGCCCATAAAGTAAAAGGTTAAGACATCAGTTTATGTTGTAGTTTATGTCATTCACTTTGGTGCATTTTTTATGTCAGTGAATTTTGTATTTTTTTTGTTCTAGATTATGTTTTCAAGTAAATAGAGATGATTTTAATGTGTTGAAATGTTACATTGTCTCATAAAGCTAATCCCTTTATATTTAAAATCAAACAGCTGTGTTACCCTGTTTCTGTTTTTAGGAGAAGAAAAAAAAAAAAAAAGGCATTTCCAGGTTGGATTGGTGTGGTACACAGTGGCATATAGATTGACCAAAAAGTGCATTTAAAATAAGCCAGTTTTCCTCCTTGGAGCTTACTTGCTTAAACATATGATTTGATTTAACTTGAAACTGTTGATAAACCCGGTTAAATTTCTTCATTTGGTTCCTTGTAATTAAGCATTTTTTTTTTTTCTATTTATCTCTTTTAGAACTTTGTGAGAACTTGCCCATGGAAGGTAGAGAGACCATAATTATGAATCAGATTCTGCCCTATATAAAGGTAAACCTAACTTTAGTTTATTTTTTGTTTCACTTTGCCCTGTATGAAGGTAAACCTTACCTCAGTTTTTGTTTGTATCAATATTCCCTTAAAGCTCTTTGAGTTTAAACGTGGACCAGGGATGAGTGGGACAGATATGTTAACATGTGACATTGTTATTTATTACTTATTAGTGCTTTGTAAGTGTAAAGTGCTCTTTGGTGCATAGGTTTATATTATTTGACAGATGGTCTGAGGAAACTTTATCAACTAATCAATACTGAAATAGTGCTGACTTTTAAAATTCCTTGTGAAATGGTATGGAAGTTTCTATTGTCTTGCAAAAAAAAGAAAGGCTTTTAATTTTGATTTTGTTTTAGGAATTAGTATCTGATACAAATCAACATGTCAAGTCGGCTCTAGCTTCTGTAATTATGGGATTGTCTACGATTTTGGGCAAAGGGAATACCATTGAACATCTTCTACCTCTTTTTTTAGCTCAGTTAAAGGATGAGGTAAGTCTGGCTATAAATTTTGTTATCCTTTGATAGTCAGTGATTTGGTTTGGTTTTTGTTTGGGGTTTCACTGAGATAGAACCCAACAAAGTAACTTATTTTAAACCATTGACAATGTTTGGGCATGGGGTTATAAGTTCCCCAGAAAATGGGCCATTTGATACAGACTTAAAAATGTCTTTCCATCTTCTCTGCCTATTTCCTGCTTATATTCGCTGCTTTTTTTTTCTCTTTAAACTTAATGGATCTTTGTTTGATAAGTTTCTTTCATTTAAATATAAATATAATAATATCAAAATTATAACATTAGCTAATATTTATTAACACCATGTGCCAGGCATGATCATAAATGCTTTGCATGTATTATTATTACATGTAATTCTCACAACAGTCTTATGAGGGTGGGTCTTATTATTATTCCCATTTTACAGATGAAGAAGGTGAAGCACAGAGGTAAAATAACTTACCCAGGGTCTCAGCAGTGGTAGATCTGGGATTTGAATGCATGTAATTTGATTTCATAGCCTATGCCCTTTACCTTTCTATAGATTTTTCATTGAAAGTTCTGGTTAAGATCAGTTAAATTATGTGCTTTGAATTATTTGTGTACTCAGTGTTAAGTATTTCTTCCAAGACAATACTTTTTTCACCTGAGTCAGTACTTTCTTATTTTAAATTTTATTTACTCATTGTGTTGGTAGGAGAATATTGGGCAGAGAACTTGATCTTTACATGTGGTCTTTTGGGGCTTGTGTACTTGCAGTGTCCTGAAGTTCGTTTGAACATCATCTCCAATTTGGATTGTGTAAATGAAGTGATTGGAATCCGGCAGCTCTCTCAATCACTCCTTCCTGCCATAGTGGAGCTGGCTGAAGATGCCAAATGGAGGGTCCGGCTGGCCATCATTGAGTATATGCCACTGCTGGCAGGCCAGCTGGTGAGTATGGGTGCTCTGTGAACTGAAGGATAGCATCAGATAGTGGAGCAGATTTACCATGGCAAGTAGGAGGCCCAAGTAGCTCCTATGGTTATGTTCATTTAGACTCATGAAAGTATGGCCTCTCTTAGTTGCCTGTAGAGTGGTTTGCATTTTCATCAGTGCATTAACTTCTTTTTTTTTTTTTAACTTTATGTATCCTTTTTTTTTTAATTTAAATTAATTTATTTATTATTTTTGGCTGCATTGGGTCTTTGTTGCTGTGCGCGGGCTTTCTCTAGTTGCGGCGAGCGAGGGCTACTCTTCGTTGCGGTGCATGGGTTTCTTATGGCAGTGGCTTCTCTTGTTGTAGAGCACAGGCTCTAGGTGCGTGGGCTTCAGTAGTTGTGGCATGTGGGCTCAGTAGTTGTGGCTCGCGGGCTCTAGAGTGCAGGGTCGGTAGTTGTGGTGCATGAGCTTAGCTGCTCTGTGGCATGTGGGATCTTCCCCAACCGGGGCTGGAACCCATGTCCCCTGCATTGGCAGGTGGATTCCCAACCACTGTGCCACCAGGGAAGCCCTGCATTAACTTCTAATAAAAAGGTATTATAGAAACACATTTCACCTCCCCACTATCTGAAAGCAAAGCCATAGAAGAATATAATTAATTTCTTGGTTTATGTCACATAGAGTTTGTGCTACTAAATGTCTCTGTGATTTAAGGAATATTTATCTCAGAAGAAAGGGAAGTATGGTTTTGAGATAAATCAGTTTTGACTTTTGCTCAGGGAGGCTTCCCTGTTTGCCTATATTCTGCGCAAAATGTCTCTGGTTACCACTTTTACTACATTCTGGTTAAAGGGAGTTGAGGACTCTCCATACAAAAAAGGAGTGTTGAAGTTTGTAATGCTAGTATTTTGGCCAAAGTCTACATTATCACATTACTGTTTGAGATTCATGGATAGTTGTACTGATCTCAAATTAATTAAAATTTCAGTGCTGGGTTTTATAGCCACATCCTTCCCTTTCTTTTTTAGTAGATAGCCTCGTCAATTCTAAATTTGATGTGCCCTCACCATGTTGGTTGCACTTACTATAGTATATTATAACTGTCTGTTAAAATCTAGTTGAGGAGATAGACAACTGATCTCTTTTAGGGCAGGGACTGTGTTCGGTGTTTTATTTCCAGTGCTTACCGTAGTGCAGTGCCTGGCATTAATCAGGCACTTAACATTTGTTGATTGTTAAGAAAATGAATACCTGAAAATTTTTTGAGAAAGCTCGTAATATGTCAGTTTATAGCCAACATTAATACAGTTTGTTTCCCCTCTTTCAACCCCACTTCTGTTCCTTTCATATCATAGCATATGGGATTTATTTTTTCTTTTCTTGGATCACTGAATTTGTATTGTTATTTTGGTATACTTAGTTTATGAAATGTGTCTGTGCGTGTGTGTGACGTCATATGTTTTATCAAATTTGAAGTGTCCCATTCTTCAAAATGGATGCCAAAGATTATCAGTGTACAGGTTTCCCCCACTGTTTGAAAGTAGAGCATCCCTAAGAAAGCTTTTGTAAGCTGAAATGGCACAAAGCGAAGAAGCAATTACCATAGCACATCTTGCTAACAGATACAGGAAGTAAATCAAGATAAAGCACAGATGCTCACAGGCACAGTTCAAAGCAATGGCGGCCTGATGCTGAGATGCTGAGTGTAGTTCTAGGGGGAGGAGCTTGGCGGGGCCACTCTTGCTGCTGTGGTGCACGCTGCCTGTCGAAGGGCTCGTTGACTCGCTGCAAGACAAATGCTGAATGCTGTTTTCACCTTTGTTTGTTAAAAAAATCCCCTTCAGATTTCTTTTGGTTAGTGAAGACACGTATTGTTTTACAGCTCTTTTGTAAAAGTGAAGTGATATGAAGTGAACTTTCAAAAAGTGGAGGATACCTATATAGCTGATGGGGTCAGGCAAAGTCATCCTGTCAGTTTTTTTCCCTCTTCCATTCCCGAGTACTGAGAGTCATCTTCTGTTCTTTACTGGTGACTGTCATGAATCACCTCTCTGGAGTCGAAAGCAGCAGTGCTTAACTGGTTTGCTAAAGATTGAAATAACTGTCCAGAAGGGAGGGTGAATTTTAGTACCATTTCTTGAACCTCTGTCCCTCCCAGACCTGGGAAGCCTGCAAAGGTTGGTAGCTCTCCGGAGGAGTATGGAAACAGGCACCTGGTGACTTTGGCTGCCTCATGCTTGTCTAGCAGAGGTGACATGCATCAGTCAGAAATGGTTTGTTATACAACTTCAACTTCTTGTTATTATTATATATTTTATCCTTAAAAAAAATCCGTAAAGACTTTTATTTCAGGTAGTCAATTTATAAAATTCTTTCAAGACTTTATGTATGGCCTGGCTTATGGACTATGGTGAGTGAAAGTAAGGCTAAACCACAAGAATCAGGAAATAAAAGTTAATTAAGACTCAAGAAAAATCCATGATCTGAAACGAAAAATAAGTCTTTGAGAGCGGACATGGTAATAATCTAAGGGTGTGCTAAAATAAAGCCTGTTCATAATCTAGTATTATGAAGCCATTTTATCATATATTCAAAGCACTTTAATTACATTTCTTTATTGAAAATACATAATCACTGGTCAGAAACTTCTTAGGATGCAAAGAAGCTAAAGACTGTGAACACGTAGACCTCAAGAGGAGGGTGCTGGGAAAGCACAGTTCACAGCGATCGCCCACATGATGTGACGTCCCACGGTGCTGGGTCCATGCACATCAGCTCGAGGAGCCTGTCTGCAGCCTGTGCTGGTGCGGCCACCGTTGTGGGGGAGAGCAGTGGTGGAGAGAAGTAGGGTGGCTCCACTGTGCCTGTGCCGGGACCACTTCACTGTGCTCTTGTGCCTGCTCTATCCCCTCTGCTTTCTCCCATGGACCCCAGAGTCCTCTCTTTAGCTGGAGATAAGTCTGGCTCTTGATGTCAGGCTCTTTATCCTTAAGGATTTATTATGATATTAACCAAAAGGGGGAAAATTTGAGAATTATTAATATTACTGACTGGTATTTTCCTGGTAATTCATCTTTACAAATATTCTAGAGACTGTTTGGCAGCCTGTGCATGCTGCACTCTTCCTACTCACCTGCAGTGCTGCACCTGGCTCCAGGCCACTCTGTTCTCTCCCGCTCAGCAGTGCCTGGGCCGACTCTCTTCTGCTCTTCTTTATGACTTCTATCCAATAAAAATAGGTTTACAGTTTGTAAATCAAATCTCATGGTATTCTTTTTCTGGCTGGTCCACGAATTCAGCTTATTTGGAAATAAGTCGTTTTTTTTAGCTTTCAGGTCACACTGGTGTAATATAAATAGTACATCTTGATTTCTAAACTTTGGAGACGTTTGTTAATGGAATCTTCTGTATCCATAGGGTGTGGAATTCTTTGATGAGAAGCTGAATTCTTTATGTATGGCCTGGCTTGTGGACCATGGTAAGTAAATAAGTTAATGGAAGGCCCATGTTTTTGCATATATCCCATTTTGTTCGTATATTTTCTTTTTAGAAAGGAATCCTAACCTGACCATATTTTGTTTTACCAGTCCAGGGATGAAGACAGGCTTTCATTAAAATCCAGTTAGCTTTTTCTGAGCACAAGTTTGACATTTCAATGTTCTACCAGTTTTTTTCTATCTTAAATTTTATTTTCTTCATTGAAAAATCTGTTTGCCCTGTTTTTCATTCTATTACATTATTTTCAGGCTGTCTCTTTTATACAGATATTCATTCCTTTCTTATCTCAAGGTCTTCTACTCGGCCATGCCATCTTTGTGTCTTCAGCCACTGTAGACTGGGTTGGACAGGGATTGGAATCAGAAGAAAGGCCTAGGGGGAAGAAATGGCTACTTGTCTTCTTTGAGGTGACATAGAGAAGGAGGTATACAGTGGTGCAATAAAGGTGTCTAGGAGTGGAAGACGTCAGCTGTGACCTCGGATAGAGAGGTCCCAGATTTCTGGTTGCGTGAAAGGCATGCTTACTTCCCGTACCCTGGCTGCTGCTGCCATGATAGCAAGAGAGGGAGAGCTGAGAACTCAGGGCAGGGTCAGATAGGACAGCATTTAGAAAATAGATTTTTTTAGTATTTTACCTTTTCTTTGCATTTATAGCATAATTCAACAGTCACAGAATCTTTTTCCTCTAGTGCCACATACTGTGTTACAAATAAAAGCTGGAACTGCTGCTTATCAAAATATACAAGGCAATTCATGTTTTATATAAAGCCACTTCATGTTAACTTGTTAGCAGTTGACTTTCTGACAAGGTCTCAGGTCTGGGTATCTCCTCTTGTCTGCTGGGCAGAAGTGGGTAGGAGGGGTTCCCTCTGTACCAGTGAGGTCCAGTGCCAGCCCCATGTCCAGACCTGGCAGCTTCGGTGTAGTCTGAGATCTGTTCAGATGAGGGCCCTGAGGACTTACAGTGTCCTGTGAGCTTTGGTTCAATATTTTGGTGGATAAGATGGGTATCCTGCTTCAGTTCCACAGCTTCTTATATATACTTTATGTACTGAACATATCTCTGTGGGTGCTTATGGGTGACTCTTTGGGAGGAGTGGGGATGTTGTGTCTGCTTGTACATGTAGGTGGTTTTGCTGAGGGCATAGTTGGATCATATGGGAGATCATATGGTTAAGGAAGTGAAGAGGAGGGGTGTGAAAAAAATGCAAATCTCATAAAGGCGTGTATATGTAGATAATTTCATTGTTTTCAAACTAGATTGTGAAGATTTTATTTCTATTTTTCTTGTCCTCCAAAGTTACCTTTTTATGGCTTAATTTTTATTCTTCTTAAATGAAACTGAGGTTTGGCAAATCATAGGAAAGGCAGTCTTCTCTTTTTAGAAATAAAGTGTTTATATTATTTCTGATAAATATTTAATGTTAGTGAGTCCCAGAAGATCAGTCCATACTTTCTTGGAAAGTTAGTGTTATAGATTTATTTTGAGGAACTTTTAAAATCCTCCTGTTCCATGAAGAATTGAATTCCTGACACCTTTTCCATGTAGGATTGTTCTGTCGATGCAGGTTAATTAATACTTCCTTTTTCTCTGATTTTTTTTTCCAATTTGGGAGCAACAGAGACCCTTGTATCTTTTTCTGCAGTAGCATACTTAAGTGGGCATTGCAAATTTGAACCAATGAAATTCTTTGAACCAATGAAATGTCAGCTCTGAAATTGTTCTATACTTAATCACATGGGGTTTTGTTTTCACGTTTTAGATAACTGCCGTGTAGTGATCAATGATCAATTAAATTTTTGGAAACTTTTTTCTGCTTATTAAACTACTAAAAGGATATTGTGAAAAATCCAGAGAACTATAAGGAAGAAAGCATCACTTACTTCTCTTCCCACGGTTGAGTGGATAGTATTGACGAGAGGGAGGAATTTAGAAGGGGAATTTATTTTTTATAGGAGGAAGGGAAAAGTACCAAAGTTAGTGAGCATATAGAGTGTGTTAGAAATTCAGAGGAACATTGCAAGTCAGCCAGACCTTGAGGGGAGAGGGAAGAAGAGGGAGGGAGAGAGACAAAACAAGCAGAGAGGAGAGGCAGAACCGTGGAATGGTTTGCATTCTTTTCAAAGCAAAATTGAGAGAAGCCAAGAACATAGTAGGCATCTGGCCAAGTAGAGTTGAGTGCAGTTAAGGTCTGGGTCAAGGACGAGCGCTCTGCCTCTGGTTACTCTGGCAGTGAGATCCCTTCCCTGTGGTAATGGCATTAGGATGAGAAAAATCTCAGGCAAATAAAAAAAACAATGAGAGGAGAAGACACAGATGGGAAGAAGTTGGTTGGGGGGTGGGGGTGGGGGGGACGGTGTGCCCAAGACAAAGAATGTGAGTGTGAAGGGAGGGAATTTGTGTTAGGGGTAAAACAGTTCACTTGAGCTGCTCCTTAGCGAGTGCTTCTAGATATTCCTGGCAGGTTGCTGCTCCCACAGGCTTTGGTCAGGTTGCATGTTGGTAATAAATTATATAGTTCCTTGGCTAAGCTGTCTTGCCTGTTCTCATCAGTGGCGTTACCTAAAAGGATCTATGGGCTGGGAAGAGCTGGGTATTTCCTGTCCGAAAGCCTTGTAGAAATTGTCCAGGATCAGAGCTGTGGCTTGGATAGCTGTTAAGCCACAGCTGTCACCCAGGAGGGTTGGGCCCATCTGGAGAGAGAAGTAGAATAAGGAGTCAGTACCCACCACTCTAGATTTGTTATCCAAGCCCAAATTTTGAGTCCTATCGGACACGTAAAGTGAAGCATTGCCACACCGGTCTTTGGTGAGCGCTGTATGTAGCAACTAGTTGTTGAGAAGATCGTAGCTCAGGCCTTTCTTATCTAGATTTATGACATCTTTGCTAAATGACCTCGTAGGGAATTATGAGGTTAAAGCAGGCACATACATTCATAGAAGACATTTGACATGTTGTCTCAACAAACATTTTTAAGGGAAAATAAAGCAAGTCAGTCTTAAGTTTTTATTTGCTGTTGTATAGATGACAACAGAGGCCTCTAAATAGCCCCCTCTCTGTCATTCTCTCAGCTGTTCTTGCTGCTGCTGGAATAATCTTGCTAAAATACCACATTGGTCATAGGGTCACAGCTTTGCTTTAAAAACCCATCATTGGTTTTCTTACAAAGTCTAAATTTAGCTTTCATGATGCTCTGTGTTCTGGCTCCACCCTAACTGTTCAACCTTACAGTCTCCCAGATTTCAGTTTTTTCCTTTGTGCCCTGGGTAAATTTTTTTGGCCTTTCCAGGAATTCCTCCCCTCTTCTCTCCGTTTACACAAATCCTCCCTAATCTTTAAGGCCCAGTGCAAGGCCTCTCTTTCCCGAAGCCTTCCCAGATCTCCCTGTTCTCTGTCCTCTAAACTCCTACAGCCCTCAGGGTCTTTAGTATACAATTTCATGCTTCATTATAATCAGTCTTAGATCACATGACTTCTTGGAATGCATTAGCTTTCATTTTTCTGCTAAAGTGTGTGATCTTTGAGGGCAGTATCTTATGCATTCTTTCTGTAACACATAGCACATAGTTGGCACTCATATTTGCTAATTAATTAATGATGTGTATAATGAGCTCCTTACCTCCCTTTTCCTTGGACATTCTATACATTTTGAAACTGTAATAAGACCAAATCAGCATACTAGGAGTCATGGCTGAGCATGCTTGCCACTGCAGTCTGACTAAATTGGAGTGTTTACAGAGTTTTATTTTTGGTCCACCTTTGATGATGATGTAAGTAGAAGTAAACTAGGTTGTGCTCACGCTGTGAGCAGCACCACAACGTGACCTTCACCCCTTCTGCAGTGTACGCCATCCGTGAAGCTGCCACCAACGGCCTCGTGAAACTAGTGCAGAAGTTTGGTAAAGAGTGGGCCCAAAATACCATCGTTCCCAAAGTGTTAGTAATGGCAAATGATCCTAATTACCTGCACAGAATGACCACTCTATTCTGCATTAATGTAAGTATTACATAGCTGTTATTGCTAAGCTCAGATGTTAAACCAGTTGTTCAGTACTGTATTATGAATTCTGAATATGTTGCCTTCTATTTGGACTATATTTCTTATACTGATTAATTTGGACAGTTAGGAGATGAGAGAAAAATGTCAATTTTTCAATTTGTGTTAAAATCTGTAGTCAAGTCAGTTGTGAATTCTGGTCTAATTCTGGGATTCTTTGCTACCTTGTATCCTTCATTCACATGCTCACACTAGAAACATTTTCCTGTTGGCCAGTTACTTTCTTATTAAATATTGTCTCTTTAGATTTGGGGATACTTAGAAAAATAAAAGTGTTTTTAATGTGCTGTCTTACTTCTTTTTCTAGGCGCTGTCTGAAGCCTGTGGTCAGGAAATAACCACCAAGCAGATGCTGCCTGTTGTATTGAAAATGGCAGGAGACCAAGTAGCAAATGTCCGATTCAATGTGGCCAAATCGCTGCAGAAAATTGGACCAATTCTAGATACCGAGTAAGATTTTAGTATTATTCTTTTTTTTAAATACTTTTAAAATTTCACCCCATATAGGCAGAAATAGCTAAAATTAAATTCGGTGATTTTCACTTCACCTAAAATGTGGGATTGGTTAAAGAAAATAATAGAGTAATTTAACAACCAGTTTTGAGTGTGTGTACTCTGACTTTAATATTTAAGCTGTGTACATATGTGGATAATTGTTCGAAGCTAATTCTACAGAGAACCTGAGAAATTATTTATACTTGTGAAGTTTACATTATAGGTGTTTTAAGATTTTTTTTAAAATTTTAAACTTTAAAAATTACCATAGAGCAAATATATATATACACACACACCATAAAGCATTTCTCTGGCTCAGAAGACTGCCTCTCACAGATGATACCATTGCATTTTAGTGCTTTGCAGGAGGAAGTTAAGCCGGTGCTACAGAAGCTAGGCCAAGATGAAGACGTGGATGTCAAGTACTTTGCACAGGAAGCTATAAGTGGTATGTCTGTTTTCTGCCTTCCAGCTTTTGCTTCGGCTAATGGGGTATGAGTGGTGTTAAGTGGGCCAGGCGATGAGCATCTGGACCTGGGAGGTGGTAAGCTCCCGGAATGCTCGTCTTCTCTTTGGGTAGAAGCTTCTTGGCCCACCACTGAGCTGGCCATTTTCCCAATTCCTAGGGCTGGGTAGGGATATGATTCTTACTGGTAAGAACAGTTTTTTGTTTGGATTTTAATTAGTTTTTAAAGTTTAACTTTTGATTAGCCTGACAGTAAAGAAACTGACCACAGTGAGAAGCTCATACATAGTTTTATGCTTTTGGGTCATTTTTGTTGTGCTTAATGTTCGCAGAGATAGTTCATGAACTTTCTGTACCACTAACTTGCTTTCGTTTGGAATTTTCTAGTGCTTGCATTGGCATAACGAAGAACAGGAGGGGAAAGACTTTACTAAATTCTTATCACAGATTTCTAGTCCATGTGTTCTTGAACTGGGTGGAGAGAAAAAATGGAAAACCTTCAAGACCTCATCTGAACAAATGGCAACAACTAAGAAGAAATCAAATTTCAATGACTCGATTCTTTCTAAAGATTGTTTTTTACTTGTCTTCCTTGTTGGGATAATTATATTTTAACTGTTCTTATTGTTTGTTACCAATTTCTGACACTTGCACGGTCATTTCTTGGTTGTCTCCTAATGATTTATTTAGCACCATCTGATCTCCTGCATCCTCATTGTTTAATCAGGCCCCGGCCACTTAATATTCCACCAAGCCTGGACAGGTTTGGACCCAGATGTGGAACAGAGTGATCCTTTTGATGTTTATATGTATCTGTGTGTCTCCATCATTCCAAAGTGAAATATACATGGTTTAGAATAACTTATTTGATAAGCACTCCGCTTGGGAGACACATTGAGGTTTAACTGTAGTGAGAGCCATGCTTTCCTGGGTAGTGATGGTCTGCCTCAGTGTCTCACCTGAAAGGGGAATGTGGAAGCTCAGGGTTCATGTATTGGTTGTTTTGGTTCTTCTTTGCTCGATTTTGACTGTAATCATGTCATTCAGAAACCTGAAGTGCAGACGCATCTTGCTGCTAATGTGTCATGTTGAAACCTAACTCATTTTCCACAGCTCCCCACTGTGACTGCGTTCAAAAATACTCTTTCCCGCTGAGAAACTTAAAATCTAGTGCCTCCTAATAAGCAGTGGTTCTACTGTTTGACTGTAAGATTGCAGTTGTATTTCTAATGAGTAAAGGAACCACTGGTATAATCCACTGTGAGGATTTCCTGCTCTTTACGTGGTTCTCCTTCCGGCTGTGTGAACATTTGGTCCTTGCTACATTGTACAGTAGTAGCTTTCGAAACTGAAGTTTCATTACTAATTTTTTGGTATAGGTGATGCTGGAATCTTATCATTTGAAATGTTTGTTTTTCTACTTTTACAGTAAAACCTCATTGGTTCCTCCTGGAATTGAAGATAATGAGTTAAGCTGAAGGGTTTGCTGAAGCAAATTAATAGTATGTGAGGAAGCCTGTTGGGTCTGAACTACTCAAACAATTTTAACGCTCCTTAAAAAGCACCCTTTTACCACTTGATATTGCTAGTTACTAATCACTCTTTTCAATTATATTAAAAGACCTTCCGTGAGGATCTTTGTGAGGGCACACCTTTATTTAGACGCATTCAATTTACTCTTTATCTCTGATATATATACATATGTATTTAATGGATAATTTAAATATTTTTTCTTTAAAATTTATGAACATTTTTCACCTGATCAAACTCAACTTGTCTCTAATGCATTTTTAATTAATGAGGTTTTACTGTAGCTTATTTTTCTCTCAGTGCATCTCGCTATGTAGTTTGCTTGTTTCCGTTTTGGTTTTCAGACTGTTTTCTTTCATTCACAGTCTCTTAAACCCAGCGAGCCCTGTTCTGTTTTATGAAGGTCCAAAGACTCCTAGAAAACTTTGTACATTAAACCATTTCATAAAACCAAGTTTGACCAAATACTTTCAAGTTTGTCTTACCTTGGAAAAACAGAACTTTTAAAATCAGAATTACCTGCCTGCATTTAAAACTGCCAAGCTAGTTTATAGTATGTTTCTATTTTATTACTTTTGGGCTAAGGATTAAATACTTTGCTAGGCAATAATCTCTTCTACATTCTCATTTTAACATCTTAAACTATTATGCTGTAAACAATTTTAGTTTCATGGTTCTTTTTGTTTTTTTTATTATCTGCAGGTTTTGTTTGTCTTCATTGAATTTCATATTTGAGAGACTGTTGTCTTGATTGAAACAAATTTGCACAACCATTGCTTTCCTCTGGTTGGAAATGCCATTGGTTTTGGGATAGACTTTTAAATGGCCTAGTGGACCCCCCGGGGAGCTCTGTGCATTGACCTCTACCCTAAAACTGTGGTAAAGGGTAGACAGCAAGCCCTTGCTTTCTCAGGCTGGGTCAGGGAGCTCAGCAGGGCCCTATCTTTTTGGGTGACCCCAAAGGGACTTCATTGTTTCTTTCTGACTTAAACAATAGGGAATCCCTTTGGTTACTCCTCAGAAGAATTGTTCTTTGGCTCATAGCTTTGTCATTTTCTCCATGGATTAGTTTTCTTGTCTTGATTTCACTGGAATGTAAGCTCCAGGAGCTCTGCAAGGGCTGGGATTTTTGTCTATTTTGTCTTCTGCTGTATCTGTAGCACCAGCACCTAGATCAGTGTCTGGTGTACATAGTAGGTGCTCAATAAAAATATGTTCAGTTAATTTCTAAAACGTGCTCTGGTGTGTTTTGTGTGTTGAACAAGTCATCCAAACTGCTTCTCATTACCCTGTCGACACAATGAAGGAATTTCACTGCTTTTAAGAAACGAGCTTTTTGTGGCCCTTCTCCAGTCCCCGTTCCACTTGGATTGTACAATGCCTGGACTAAGCGCTGCCATACTTATCCATCCTAGGCAGTTTACAGCAGTTGTTTGATTGACTAGGAAAGTGAAGCAGAGATATATACAACATATGTCAATGAAAGTCTCATCAGTAGTGGAATTCACCTTGGTGTTTCTTTCTACAATATTTATGGGGTTTAGCCCTCACAGGCTTAAGAGACCGGATCTTGTTTGTCTGCCTGTGCTGCCATGAAGATAGGAACCCGAAGTGCATTCTGTTTCATAAGAAGAAACAGGTTAATATATGGTTTCTAACGAGACTTTGTTGATATAATAGCCCTCAGCTCACAGAAATATCACAGCTTGGCCACGGTGATCCTAGGCCCTGGGGGTCTTTGCTGGACAGCTTGTCTTGACTCAACAGAGACAGCAGCCTGACCTTTGAGCTGTCTTATCCAAGCATCCAAGATACTTGCGTGGACCTCCAGGGGAATCAGATGTGTCATTCCTGACTCAATGGTTAGGCTGTGGTAATGCCGGCTTGTTGCAATTTTATTAATCGCTGTGTTGTTATGGAGTTAAAAATCTTTCCTGTAGAAATCACATTGGTCCCATCCCCCTGGGGATGGCAGGGCAGGGTGGCCAAACAAGTCGGGTGCTCGTTTCTTGCCTTTCACTTAAATTCCTCTGACCCTTTTTTTTTCCTCCTGGCATTCTTGTCTTAAAGCCTCCTTTCTGCACTGCCTGGATGTAAACTGGAGGGAGAAGGAGCTGTCACCTTGTTCTCCTTGGTTGAACAATGAAGTGCTTGTGCTCTGATGTTATGTAATTGTTTCTCTCTGATTCTGTCATATTCCTGTTTCCATCCAGTTCCGTGCTCCTCTCTCCTGTTCACTCACATGTCTCCAGTCTTTTTTTTTTTGTACCTAGAATAGTCTCACTATTCCCCGTTTGCCTCCACGAGCCTGCTGTTTCCAGGAAATTATATAATGTTCAGTTGAGATGGAAATCTTCTGGAGGATGAAGAGAGTTTAATTACTCATTGGGTAGAGAAGCCAAGTCATTTCTTTATTCAGAGTTGTTGTCTCAAACTGATGTCAGTTCTGAAAGGAGTCAGGTCTTTTCTGTTTGGCTGGGGCTCTGTAGGCTGTCAGTGACCCGGACCTGAGGGATCACCCAGCCGGTACCAGTGGCCCTGCGGGGTAGCACTTTCCATGGCTCTCGAGGAAAAGGCGCCTTCAGTGAGGTCTTGGGGTGAACCAGCTCTTTCTGCACAGAGACCCACGTGCTTCCCCACTGCAGGGCTGGAACACCTGAGGCATCGCAGGTGGGCTTAGGGGGATGTGGCCTGGTTGGGACAGCTACAGTCCGCTGTCTGTGTCTCTAGTGGTGGCCCAAAGGCTGAGGAAGCTAGATTTTCCTGTGAAGGACAGTGAAGAGCCCAGCACCCCTGGGGCTGACAAGAACCACTTCCTGAGACCCAGAGACCCAGAGAGGACACTGGGAAGGTAAGTGCTGCAGACACTCCTGGCCTGAGGCCTTCCGTTGCCTGGGCCGAGGTGTGGGTAGAGGGCAGCCAGCGAGGCAGCGAAGCCAGATCTTTACCTCGCTCCCTGAGGGGACGGTCACGTTTTGAGGGCCACGGGAATGTATTTTTAAAGCCTGTTGCCCTGCTTCTTGTCCTTCCTTCTGGGAATGCTTTCTGAGGGGTGGGGTGGGCTTGCCAGCGCTCTGTCACTCGTGTGGCTCTGCCCCCACGCAGAGGACAGAGGTGGTTGGCTGAAGCGTTGCTGCTCCCACTCACCTCACAGAATGGACAGTTCTTATTTGCTACAGTTCCTCTCAGGTGGTCGCTTCCATTCAAGGAAGAAACCACTTCTGTCAATTTTACTGGGTAAGAGTCCAAATGTTTTACAGGCCCCACTTGACGCCCCTCTGGAGGAGGTATGCCAAAGTTCAAGTTCGGCAAAGTTGGTGCCGGCCACTGCCCTGGGGCTGTTTGTTAGGAGGGTGATTTATGACCTACAGATACGTTCAGAAGAGCAGCACAGAGGGTCTGGCTGCCGTGTGCTGATGTCAGGCTGCATTTAGTTTATTTGGAAGATAATGGTATTTTCGCACCCACTCCAGTGGGTTCGCTTGGTGAAGCTTCTAACGATGGGAATAAAGACACAGACCTACTAGAGAATGGAGTTGAGGATATGGGGAGGGGGAAGGGTAAGCTGGGACAAAGTGAGAGAGAGGCATGGACATACACACACTACCAAACGTAAAATAGATAGCCAGTGGGAAGCAGCCGCATAGCGCAGGGAGATCAGCTCGGTGCTTTGTGACCACCCAGAGGGGTGGGATAGGGAGGGGGGGAGGGAGACGCAAGAGGGAAGAGATATGGGAACATATGTCTATGTATAACTGATTCACTTTGTTATAAAGCAGAAACTAACACACCATTGTAAAGCAATTATACTCCAATAAAGATGTTTAAAAAAAAAGTTTGTCTTATAAATCTTTATGGCTTTTCCTTCATTTTCTGTGAACTGGGGCCATGCGAACCTTGTGCTATTGTCCCGGCCCTGAACTGTAGTCTTTCATCTCAGAATGTTCTCCCCTCCCTGCCGCGCTGTGCACTGTTCTCCCAGGGCCGGCAGCGCCCGGCTGTTCCTGCAGTGGCTGCCCCGCGGGAGGAAGTGCCGAGGTGACAGCGCTGCTTACAGCCTCAGCAGCCCTGGGCCCTTTCGTCCGTACCTCTGTTTCACTGAACTTGGCCTCAGAGAAGAGACCGTGGCCGAAAGAGTAGGCATAAGAGTCACAACTTTTTAGACCTAAGCCACAGACTTCCTTGGGAAGAAAGGAGTTATGTTTTCCTACACACTCAGGGTCAACTGGCCATGCCATTAAATGCACGGTTTGCCTTTGATCTGCAAGTGGAATAGTTGAGGCGACCCCTCTGTGGCAGACTTGCCAGGTCTGTAGGCAGCCCCTGATGGCCACAAACTGGGGAAACAGTATTAGCTGCTGTTCCTCGAGCCTCGAGCCTTGGTAACTGTGCAGGCATCTTGTCAGGCACCTGGCAAAACCTCACTGAATCCTCGCAGCAGTGTGGTAGGTGCTGGCAGCTCTGTTTCTCAGCTGGTCGAGAAACTCCCCCCAACCCTGTTGTGTCTACTTGGGCGTCTTTTCCGGCAACGGAGGCAAGAGGCACTGCTAGGCCTCTGAGGCTGCAGATCACTTAACCCAGAAAAATCCCCTGCCCCATGACTCAGGGAGCCTTCCCCGCGTTTGTTTCACTTAAGGAAAAGGACTCGAGGGTGAGATGAAAGGGAGTTGACTGTTGCCAGGCAGAGCCCTGCGTGTCAGGGGCCAGCAGCCAAGTGAGTGATCCAGGAAGTCATCCAACTGCAAACCAGAAATCGTTCTTAACCCCTCACTCACTCACTGTCCGTGGCCCATAGCAAATTCGCCCATCTGCCCCGACGGGGTCAGAGGGTCCCGAGAGCCCTGGGAACTGCCTCCAAAGTCCACTGGCCTCTGGGCCCCGCGGGAGCCATTCAACATCCCAGGGCTCTGGCCTGCCCCTTGGTCCAAGAGGGAATGACCCCAAGGGGTGAGAGCCAGTTCCTTTGACGAAGGGTGTCTACTTGGTTCCTCCCAGACTGGCCCTTGGTGTCTGCGGAGCCGTCTGTGCTCTGGATGTCGCCCGTGGCCCCCGCCTCGTGCAGGGAGCAGTGCGGCGGCCTCGTGCTCCCTGCCCACCCTGGGTCAGCTCGGCAGCTCCTTCCTGGTGGCGGACGGTGGCCTTCCCTCCGAGCCAGGCGGGACTGCCCTCGTGGACGGTCCGAGGGCTGCTCTCTGACGACAGAGCTGCTGACGGGCCTCTGTCAGGCGAGGGTTAACAGAGGATTTGTTTATTGAATCACGAAGTAGCTGTCACATGATTTTAATCAAAACACCATTTCCCTGACAACAGTGATGTCAGTCTTGTTATTGCAGGAAGGAGCAGCTGCGAGGGACAGTCAGGCTCCACGCTGAGCCCGGGTTCGGAGACTCAGATCGAGGGAAGCATCATAAATGACGCTTGCAGGCGCCGATGTGCCAATCTGCCTTCCTCTTCCTCTTCTCTCTGTCCTGACAGCCTGTCCCACACAGTCACTGGCCGGAGCCCGGCCCCCGTGCCCCCAGTCTCCACTGAGATTGCACCTTCTGCACTCCTTGCTCCTTTTACCCTTGTTTCTACTTCTGGTTTTTCCAGTTTTCCTTATTTTCCCGGAACTCAGTCATTTGGGCCCTTAGGATCTCTGGCCTCTGACTCCTGGCACCTGGCTCTCCTCTGTGTTCTAAACCAGCACCTACTGGTGAACCAGAAGTCCTGCTAGCCCGAGGTGGGGGACTGTCCTGCAGCACAGGGGTCTCGGCTCCCTTCGGAGCCAGCTTCCGGCGGGCGGAGGGGCTGCTGTCCTGTCCTTTCTCTCCTGAGGGCAGGTTAGGGGAGCCTAGGGCTGCCTGAAGGTCTCCAGGGCGGTTCGAAGGAGCTTGGCTGTGGGTGCCTAAAGGCTAAGAGCTCCTTAAGGAAGGGCCAACCTCAGGGTTGCAGGATTAGTTCTCTTAAGCCCAGAAAGACTACAGGAGGCCTGTGTCCAATCCAGCTGAGGACTGACCACAGAGATCAGTGTCAGGGAGGTCGGCAGCGGACCGCTCCCAGGGCCAGTGGAGCAGTGTCCTCAGGCTCTGCCTTCTCTTGGCACCTTCTCCTCTCTAGGGGCTGGGGACCAAGCAGCTGTCTCTGCAGAGAAAGATACCCAGGCTCTCCAGCCCTTCTCTCTCCAGGAGCTTGGCCTTAAAAGTTGGGAGATGGATGAAAAAGGCCTCCTAGGTGGGACATGGATTCTCATG